GACCGCTGGATTCTGTTCGGCGGCGTCCCAGACGGGTTCTCACTGGATAAAGGATGGGGCTATGTGGCCCAAGCACTGAGAGCATGTCTCGTCCTTGTCATCTGGGACATGAGGAACAGGAACGTCTTCGAAGTTCTTGTCCGACAAGGCTATCAAATGCACGATGAAAACGCATGTCCGAAGGAATATCAAGAGTGACTGGCGACGCAAGGTCTCCAATTCTCAACAAGGGACTGCAAGTCTAGCCTGGTTCATGGAAACCTGGGCTCTCCAGGGGAGGCTAGCAACGATTCAAGAGGGAAAACTGAAGTTGGATGAGTGGTTACTAAGCAGTGATTAACAACCTGGGTACTCGGTTTCTCTCCGTAGTAGGAGGGCAGCATTGGTAGTTAKCAGGGACTGGAGGGAGTACCGCGGGGACACTTGGAGCCTATGCTCCACCACCCCGTGTTAGGGGCGGTATCAGATCTCAAGCAGTCGTAGCTGTCTGAGTCGGAAATCTGTCTCAAGAAGTTTATTGACCTGAGGAAGCACTGCAGGTCATTGGGGATTGGTCCCCGCGGGGGTAGCTGGTTTGCTTCTCCCCCCATAAGCGAAACTGGGTAATGCTCCCAGAGGTTACTTCCCGGGTAGACTGTGAGGACCCCAGCCTCAAATGGATTACTTGAAATATAAGCCTTGGGCACAGGGCCCGTGAGTTTAGATTAAAAAAAAATAAAAAAAATAAAAAAAATTGGCTGCCCGTTTCTTATTTTATGCGAGCAGGGGGCCGGGTGTACTACCGCCCCTCACAACTTTTTTTTTTTTTTTTTAACCCCCGCACTGCAGCGCATCGCGATGCGCCGCAAGTATGATATACATGTATCTAGCGCAGAACAGCGACTAGGAGCATATGTCTGGATTGGAGGGAATGAGGCTCTAGCGGACGCTGTGGTTCACATACGGATTATGACCTGTAGGTCCTGTACCATGAGATCTCCATAAAGTATCTTAATGGGCAGGAGTTCGACGGCCGATGCACGACTGTAGATACAAGCACGTCACTCTGATCAAGGTAGTATGAGCAACGTACCTCCAGTACGAGGGTAGCTTCCGTGACAAGCTTCTAGATGATGCTGCGTGGGAAGGAAGACATGGGTGAGAAGAACGTGGGACGTGGAAAAAGGAAGGAGCGGAATTGATACAGACATAACAGCATTCTTTTTGATTGGGCACATCGTACTGTTTTTTGTAAGAGGAGGCCATATTCTTACTAAGGTGGTTGGTGGTTCAAACCTCCTGAAGAGACCCGGTGTGCGCCCGGGTAAGTGAATTTGTACAGTGTTTTGGAAGATAAAAATGGAATGCATCGTTGTTTTCTTTTAACTTTGTCTTCTCTCCATGTCGTGTGCAGTGTGTGGCCGCTGTACGTGCCCCTGAACTCTCTCTCTCTCTCTCTCTCTCTCTCTCTCTCTCTCTCTTTGAAATCAGAGTCCAGCCCTGTTTGGCACCCAAAACATTCTTTTGGGGGTCTGAAAAACAGATCAGACAGGATTCACAGGAAGATTTTTATTTTTATTTTTTTTATTTTTTGTGGATTCCATTTCCCCCCTTATCTGGACAAAAACCGGATGTGTGGATGCACATCTGGATCCAGACGGTGTGGACCGGCATTCGGATGTCCGGATCGTAGCCATGCTTTTTTCCTTCCATTTTCTATTTTTCAGCATTTTGAGGGCACACCCACTGTTGAGTTTTCGGACGTGAGAGCCGAAAAGCAAAACCAAATGTTTACATGACTTTGTCTATCCGGTTAAAAAGCGCAATGGGAGGAATGGATTCAACTCCGTGAAATAAGAACAAAACTACAGAAAACGAATACTAGAACACATGGTGCAAGCCCCCAAAAAACACAGAAACAAATGCCAAAAACACCGCAAGAGTCGCAGCAAGACAATAAAAGAGAAGACGTGTACGATGGCCCCCACCCTCAAAAAAACGACAAAAACGCAAAATGAACACAAGCCAAAAACACCACCCTTCACCTGTTTCCCTCCCGACACCAACAAGTTCTTCTGTTATGTGAGCACAGTCACGGTGGCCATACGGCAAACGGGAAACAAAACAGGATTGAAAAAAAAGAAAATCTGAAAAAAGGATATGGATGAGGTGGATGAAGAGCACCAAGTTTGCCATTGACCTTCAGGTCATACTGAAACGGTATTCACCAGTTCGCAGTAGCCGATGCAGATCCCAGGGCTCGATCCCTAGTCCCCACCTTACCTGTGTACAGTATCTGTGTCGACCCCTGGAGTTGAACCCGTGACCTGTGTATTTGTAACAGTTGGTAGACTGTCGTAGGGTCCATAGGTAGCAGGGGTTCGATCTGTAGACCTGTCGAGTAGGAGTCTTAGTCAGGTCTAGAAGTCGTAGCTGTAGACTTCCCGAAGGGTCAAGGTCGTAGCTGCTACAGTCTAGAAAGGTCAAGGTCGTAGCTGCTACAGCGTCGAAAGGCCAAGTCTACGGCCTTCCGGAAGGTCCAAGTAGTGGCCTTTCGAAGTTGCCCATGTTTAGACTGAGGTAAGTGGGCAAGTGGTGGAGTCTAGACTGAGGCAAGTGGGCAAGTGGTGGAGTCTAGACTGAGGCAAGTGGGCAAGTGGTGGAGTCTACCCGTGCTGAGTCAGAAGTCCCAGTCCCAGTCAGTCCAAATCCAGTCGCGCAAGTACCGCATGGGACTGTGTGCACTACGGGCATGGGAAAGGGCCAGACCAACGAGCTGCAGAAGTATAAATCAAGACGCAGCGCCCAGCCATTCATTCATTCCTGCGTGAGCCATGCGGAAGCGCTGCCACAAGCGACTTGTGCGAGGTGGTCTGCAGTGAGCCCGAAGACGAAGTGGGCGAGAAGAAGGAGGGTAGCCATAGCGATAGGGTAGCAGCGTCCATAGCCGCCATAGCTGTAGGTAGAGTTCAGTGTGTGTGTACAGAGTATCATGTGTGAGATATCCAGGGTGATCCTGTGTGTGCGAACAGAGAGTTGTGTGGGCGCTGACGCCATAGCCATCTGAGGTGAACTTGTGTCTGAGCTACGTTTTGGTTGCCATATCTCTGAGTTTTGAGTGGGCGCATGTCGCCAGTTTGCTGCACACGTGTTTGCATGCATGAGAAGCGTGAATGAGAGCGAGTCTGACTGCAATACAGCAAACGGGAAACAAAACAGGATTGAAAAAAAAGAAAATCTGAAAAAAGGATATGGATGAAGATGGATGAAGAGCACCAAGTTTGTCATTGACCTTCGGCAGCACACATTCACACACGAACAAACATGATACCAGTGAAGCAGCCTGCGACCTCTCTTCATAGAGGCCAGTACAGGCCAAATAATTACCCCATGAAAGGGCTTAAACCACCAGTATATCCAGCTATCGGTCGCGGGCCCTTTTCAGAGGCCGCCTGCCGCCGATTCAATATATCTACGGCGCTGGGCCTCTGAAATTTCCGTAGGCGACGAGCTTTCATTTCAGCAAGGCTGGGGCCATGTACTGGCGGTTTAATGGCCAAAGAATATCCCATCCCCTGACCTGTGTGGGCCAAATAGGAAAAAACTATCCTATAGTCGGAGTCGACCATTAGCAACAAAAAAAGAAAAAAAGAAAAAATTGCACCCACTCACGTGTTCTGTACACACCTACAGGTCCTATTCACAAGGCAATGAACAAAGAGAGCTCAGAAATCATTTGTACAAACTCAGGTCAGTCAGGTGCCCAGTACACCTATAGCCTATAGGCAATCGATTGAACAGAAAAAGCTAGGAACAAATCTTTTTTTCTTTTTGTCTTTTCAAAACTAAGCTATATTTTTCTCTCAAAAAATTTACCTCCCACAACCTACCCTTGCACCTACATCTACCTAAGTCCTAACTTTGCTTTGTACACCGAAGCTGGATTACCCTTATTGGTGATGGGTCAGGCCTATCTCCTCCGGGTTGATCAAGCTCAACTCTGTGCGGGGAATAGTACCCAGGCTGCTGACCCCTGGCAATGGACCGGAGGGGAAAACCCTTACCAAGACCAACCGGAGGGGGCAAGCCGACTATCTCAGCTGGTGAACCAGCTGCGTGCCGCAGGAGGCCATGGGGGTGGTTCGAATGGAAGACGTGGGGAATTGAACCCACGACCTCCTGAATGCTGCTTTCGTGCTCTGCCAACTGAGCTAAGCCCAAGGCAAGGCTACAAACAAATCTATTGCACAACCAACCACAAAAAAGGGCTGATGTCGTGAACGGTGGTTGCACTGCTCAGAGAAGAAGCTCCAAGGGGCCACCCACACAACACCATCATGCGTCATTCTCAGCCGCGAACAGAACAGCTCATCAAGGGGCTCAATGTGAAACCAGCTAGGTGTGCATCGATAATGTGCGAGGAACCTCGACGAGGGTGGACAGGAAGGTAACAACACATAATTAGGACGAGCTTGGGGGAATGCTACATACATAACTGGCCACCAATGGTCACGAGTAGGAAGATAAAGACACTTCAAAGAAGGATTCGCCACCGCGTACAAGTGCTAGAGTTGTGCTTCGACCCACTGCGAGTTGATTGCGACCAACTTGCTACCGAACGGAAAACACAGCAAACAAGGCTTACAGGGGGTAACTCAAGGGACCATTGTGCAACACAATGGAAAACAAAGAAGGGCATGCATGCTCATGCTCTCTTTTCTCTTTCTTTTCCTCTTTTTCAAAGGGTGACGACTCCTTTAGATATCATCTTTGAAACTTGAATTGACCGGCCCCAGGTTAATTCAGAGTTATTCTCACTCATCTGATGCCATCTGGATTTGAACTCGGGTCAGCAACAGCTCGCGGGTGTACCGACTGAGCTAGGCCAGTTCGTATGCATGCTAATGCTTACAAAGCGACAAGCACATGCCAAGTCACTAAAAGCAGTGCCATTGGTTGAATTGTTCACCAACAATTACATGCATGCATGTCTTCATTCATATCTTCTTAGCAGTTCTTACCTCTTCAGCAACATAGAGGAAGTAATTAACCAAATCTCCAGGAGCACCCGGGAACCTCGCCCGAAGCTCCTCTCTCTGCACAGAAAGAGAAACACAGAAAGAAAGCAAGGGCATCCAATTCAGCTAATAGGCAGTGGCAGGCTGGCTGTCATGCTCCACACAAGCGAATAGGAGTCGACGTTGTGAGCGCTCGACAATAAAAGATTTTGCATCTTCCTTGCCAGTGAAATGAACTCGTGTACATGCCTTGTGGCTTTTAAATTGGTGGTGAACTGGGTATGATTGCTCTTCACAGGCTATTGCTATTCCAGAAAGAAGAAAAACAAAGTAAAAACAAATGCAGTCTTCCCTTTTTCATTTCCTTCCCACTTCCTTCCTGCTAATCCGCTTGCTTCCCAATTGGCCGATCCAGAGCATACCCTCTCTGTACAAGCGACCTACTATCTGGTTTGGGGTATCTATCATGCTCCTCAGCACCTGAGGCATGCGTCCTTTGCTTTCGAAGGAGCCCTCTCTGTTACATGATGATAGTGTGGGAATTGCAATGCAACCAGAAACAGTGAAACACTCTTACTTTTGAGGTTGGATGCTGGTCTGAGGTGGTACATCCTTCAATGCCGCCCACTTGGGCCTCTCAACCGTAATGGGGATGGGGAGGAGCGTGCGTGAGTACCCATTGTAATATTTTCTCACTTGCCGGCGGAATAGGAACCGGACTGACACTCCCCAGAATGGATATGGAGCCAGAACCATAAGGTTCTGTTAAGAAAAAAAAAGAAGAGAGAAAGAAAGAGAGAAAGACGCTCTGTCCTTCTTGGCATCCATTCCAATTGGAATGATACACACAAGGTTAGCACGGGCACCCTGGAAGGATAAGCCTCAGAAACCAAGAAATGATCTGAAAAAACAAACAGAAAAAAACAAACAAAAAAACAAACAAAAAGCGAGAGCTTTTCTACAGCGTGACACTTTGTTTTGACTGTTCACATAGTCTATTGTTCTCACCATTCGCCGACCCATCAGCCACACCAAGCTCTAACACCAGGAATGACCAAGGAACAGAAGGAAGCAAGGGCGATTTGATCAAATCATTTCGCAAGTCAATCAGTTTTTGGTTTACATAACTTCAAACGAATAATTCAGAGCAATTAAATTATTAAAGCAATGCTTGCGAATCAGCAGGAGATTTTGCATAAGCTCTTCGTTTTAAGCGTTCTGTAAACTTCTTTTGCCATTTTCAAACAGTGGACTGCTCGGCAGTCAACTGAAAAATAAATCCGAACTGGAATTCGAACACAGAGGCAGGCTGGGGTAGCGGGAACAGAGGGATGTGTAAATCCTAATTTTTGCAATGCCCACAGGGAAGTTGTTTGTTGCTTTTCCATTTTGCAAGCAGTTGACTTCTCAGCGAAATCAACAGGGGCAAATAACTTATAAATTATGATGGCAATTCAAAACAGAGGTGGGCTGGGGTAGCAGGAGCGGAGGGAGGCGTAATACCTGGCTTGCAACGCCAACAGGGCAATTGTTTGTGTGGCAAATGCGCGCCATGATACAACCAGTGGCAATCATCGCGATCGACCCAAAACCATACTCGTCGGCACCCATGATTGCTCCCATAATAACATCACGCCCACTCTTCATACCTCCATCTACTCGAACCACCACCCTGTCACGTAGTCCGTTTGCCACAAGTGTCTGCAGAGTACACAGATTCCACGTATTTGACCGACCGTGAGAGTTAGATTCATCCAAAGACGGCAGAAGGCCACAATACATGTTCATGTTAATGGCAAAATCATGGGCCAGCAAGGCCACAATATAATCACGAGCTGACGTCGTTGAAAAACTCACTAAGAGTGTACAACACCTGAATTTCGTATGTGCACTTGAGACTCTACTGTCTTCGTCGCAAAGAGGGTGTGCAATGTGCATGAGATGCGTAGCTTACACATGCAAGGAACTGCCAGCATATTGAAAAAAGACTCGTCCAATTCTCTCTCCTTCAAAAGGACCCCCACTGGTTATCTGCAAAGGTTCAAAATTTCAAATCCTTTTTACCCCGGCAATTAATTCCAATTCAGTTCTTGTTGTTAGAGCTGATGAGCCTGGTCGAGCACGCTGCTCTCGCGGCCCTGATGCTCTCCCTCAGAGTCATTAAAGACGACCTTCACCTCTTTTCGACACGCCAGTGGATCTTAGAGGGTCATCTTGCTTTCCATTCTTTCCGCCATAATTTCAGGCATGGTTTCTTTGCCATAGATTTTGTCAATCCAAGAAAGCAATATGGGATCGCTGTGTGCAGGGGTTCGATGGGCTCAAGATTTATCCTTCAGCATGGGTATCGATGGGCTCAAGATTTATCCTTCAGCATGGGTACTGTTCTCCTCGGAAGAAGATAGTCTAATAAAATATGTGATCGCTATGCACAGGAGGGGTTCAGTGGCCTCAAGATTTGTCCCTCGGTCTAATAAAATATGTGATTGCTATGCACAGGAGGGGTTCAGTGGCCTCAAGATTTGTCCCTCGGTCTAATAAAATATGTGATTGCTATGCACAGGACGGGTTCAGTGGCCTCAAGATTTGTCCTTTGGTCATGGGTACTACCACTTGAAGCCATTGAAACCATGGGATCGCTGTCCGCAGGGGTTCGATGGGCTCAAGATTTGGGTACTCTTCTCCTTAGAAGAAAACAGTCTCATAAAATATGTGATCGCTATGCACAGGAGCGGTTCAGTGGCCTCAAGATTTGTCCTTCGGTCATGGGTACTACCACTTGAGGCCATTGAAAACTTCCTACGCATAGGGATAAAATAAACGTGCGTGAAATTATTTGCAGATGCCGGACAGTCTATAAATCAAATTTCAAATGGAGCTTCATTTCCTTCGTTTCCTGATAGTTGCAAGGGACCATACAATGAGAATACCAATTTCCCATAATGCAAAAGCTCATAGAAGAACAAGCATGTCTACTACCACTCTCCCTCTCTGTCCACGAGTCACTAACTACACACTGCTTGAATACTCCTGTCACATAGGTTTCCTCCGCCAGCATCAGGTAAGGCCTGCCAGTCCTCCCACTGTCTTCCTTCTCTTCCCCACTTCCACACTTCGCCGCCCTGTGTCCCTGCTAGTGTTGCCCAGCTATGGCTGGTGCCAGCCCAGCACCCAGTGGCATCTGTCTTCTTCCTTCCTCTCTGTGCACTTCTGGGCACTAGTGCTGCCCAGCACCGCTGCGAGCTGCCAAATGCCTGAATTGGAGAAGAATCCTCCTTGTCCCAGCAGCCTCCCTATCCTCTTGTCTTGTTCTTGAGGCTGCGGTCTGGTTGCTGTAGGCAGTGCTTGATGCCTACTGGGCCTGAATCCGGGTCCCAGTCGCTGTAACTAGCTGGAGGCTGGGCCTACCGATTAGTTACAAGGACTGGCGCCTGTTCTCAGGCCCAGAACTCTGCCCTGCCGGCCTGCTTTTAGACCCAGCGACATTCTCTCCGGCCCACCTTCACTCAGGGCAGCCTGGTCCCATCTGGAACGAAAGGACTCTTATGCTCATAGGGGGGGGGAAAAGGCATCTGCACCACTGGGGTGGAAAGAAAGGCATCTACACCACTGGGGTGGAAAAAAAGGCATCTCCTTAGTGGAGTCCCGAAGGCCCCTGCAGCTATGGAGTTTTGGGGGAAGTCTATGATCCCGCCTGTTCAAGAAGCACGGGCCTGATGGCAGCCACAGATGAAAGGGCATTGCCCTTAAAGCCGCGGAGCAAATGGTTGAATGCGCGCATGTTTGCTGCCAAGTCACTGATACAAGACAGGAGCCCGCCTGTTAAAGAAGCACGGGCCTGACGGCAGCCACAGATGAAATGGCATCATCGCCCTTTCAGCTCCGGAGCAAATGGTCGAATAAGCGCATGTTTGCTGCCAAGTCGCTGATGTGAGACAGGAGCTTCTGTCCACCAGTGGCTTCAACTTGTATAATAGCCTAGATGCAGCGAATTAGGCACGGTGCTGGCACCTACACTGAGAACGGGTGGAACTTGTCATCATGGGCGAACGCCATGACGGACATTGTCAGAGAATTAGAGCACCAATCAGTCAACATTCCTTTTCACTTGTGGTGGGCAAGGGGGGCAAGGGACACACCAGACTTCTCCTACCTGATGTGTCTCAGTAAGCCCCATCTCCCATGGACCTCCAGCATGCTTGATTGAGCTGATGGGACTTGCTCCAGTGCCTCCATCGTGCCCAGAGATCTGCAAAGCCGCACCATCTTGTCAAAATCAGTATACCACCACATGCGCAAGAAAGCGAAAGGCTGCAGCAAGAAAGATGAAACAATACATTGAAATTAAGAATTCTAAATTCCAGCTTATACACCACAGCTCAACGAGCCCCAATCCCATTCACGGATATCAGCAAGACAATGGAAGGGTTCAGCAAGAAGAAATAATACATTGAAATTTGAAATTAAGATTTCCAGAATATAGCTGGTTCAGTTAGGAGAGTCAATAACTGATGTGGAGTGAGCCCCAATCCCACTTTTGACAAATCCAAACTGTGGCTGCTGTACCCTAAATCCAACAATTAATGTCAAAGTCGACTCCCACTTGAAGCAAACCTGATCATGACACTTTGTGGCACAGCATGCCACTGTTGACGTACAAGACAGAATCGGACACCGATAGGTGGAGCAGAGGACAACACCACCCCCTCCAGGACACCGATAGGTGGGGCAGAGGACAACACCACCCCCTCCAGGGGCCTCACAGCAGTACAATAACTGATTTTGCCCATCACTGAGAGGAAGGGAAAAAAGATTCCCCAGGTCGGGACTGCTGGCATGTGTCATACTATGATACTAATCTTTCCCGGATCAGGTCTGCTTTCACTAGGCCCCCTTTCCCCTTAGGGGCGTAGAAGAAGCAGAGGAGAAAATGGTTGGGACTCGCGACACGAGAGGCAACATCGTTTGGACAACAATCACATCGACGACACACCCGATTATCAGATGAAAAGAGTCGTAAGACCTTTGATGGCAAGTTGCATAGTACGCATAGAGGACTCAGGGGCAATCCGATTTAATCATTTTCATATGATCCAGATTCTGTCTTGTTTCTTCTGCTTCCATCAAGATTCGAACTCAAGTTCTGTTAAACAACAGTTACATGTGTGTACCATTCAGCCACATCAGATTCCATCTACTTTGGGAATATGCAAATTATGTTTGCGAAAATACTTTCCTGCTCGAGTTCTACGGTTTCCTGCCGAATTCTACGGTTTACTGCACTTCCTGCTCGAGTGTCTTGAAGGAAAATGCTACAGCCTTATGGTGGTCTCTACTTTCCTACCCTTGCACCTAAGCCCCCCCCCTCTCAATCTACCTACCTTTCCCATCTACAATACCAGTTGAGATTTCTTTCTCTGGATTGCTTCTACCAAGATTCTTGTCGGCTTTCGAACCTCTCCACAAATCTCTCTGCGCTGCCACATTTATGCTTACCTGGATGGTGTCTGCGTTCGCTTTAGCTACACCGCTAGCCACTGTGCCGATTCCTGCTTCAGCCACGAGCTTCACAGACACCTTTGCTGACGGATTCACCTGCAGATCAGATTGACAAACATTGAAATGTCAGCAACATCACATGAAAACATCACCGGCTATGAACATGCCATGAGTTCCCCCTACCGTCTTCACCCAACCGGAACGTACAGTCATTGTTTCTGTAGCTAGACTGGAAGTTACCCCAAATGCCGCTATAGGGACGATACGTTGTATTCAGGGGAAGACGGTGTTGTTACATCACCCACTCTACCCTCCTGCATGATCACTTCACAGCCCAGGCATCCAGCTATCAAGACGGGAGAGAAGTGAAACACCAGTAAGCTCCAGAGATGCGTGAGTAGACGAAATTCAGGTCCACAGACAATCTCCAAAACGACAATTGAATAAATGCTATTGAAAATTTGACAGAGAATTTAAGTACTTGGTAACTTGGACCTAAACAGCCAAACCCCGCATAAAGACAAAGTAGCTAGACCGTGTCTTATTTCATTGCGCTATGGAGAGAATAGCATTTAGGAATGATAGTAGCCAACTACTAGCCATGCAAAGTCCGCATGTGCAGGACTGATGCATTTGTTCCATGTTCGCCCTAATGCATTCGGCTTGAACACAGAGATACCATCCGAAAGGAGGACGCCGTTCAGACAGTGTTTGACAGGGGCAGTGATTCGTGTGTACCATGTGGAGGTCGTAGATGAGCTGTGCAAGATCCTCAATCGAATAGATGTCATGGTGGGGAGGAGGAGAGATGAGAGGCACTCCAGGCTTGGATTTCCGAAGTGTTGCAATGTAGGGGCTGACTTTAGTGCCTGGCAGCTGACCGCCCTCTCCTGGCTTTGCCCCCTGCGCGATCTTGATCTCAAGTTGGTCTGCATTTACAAGGAAAGTGGGCGTCACTCCAAATCGTCCAGATGCCACCTGATGTCCCACCACAAACAGAAAGTACAACAGAATCAGCAAACCCATGAAAGAGCGGTGCGTTGAAAAATGGTTCAGCTTCCAAAGGAATGTGAGTTGATCAACTAACCGTGCACACAAATCCTGGCATAGTTGAGGACCCTATCACCAGATGCTCTGTACCTGAGTTCTCACGCGCTGCCTGCGATTGTCTTGGTAGAGCTGGCACAGATATGGGATGCAAAGCAGACTACGTCATGTTTACATCAACCAGAAGTGTGAAGCAGTGTGACCAAGGACTTTAAACCACCAGTACATGCCATACATCGGCGCGGGCCCCGTTCAGAGGCCGAAACTCGACTCCGACTTTTCCGGAGTAGGTGACGAACAATTCTCCGCAAGGCCGGTGCCATGCACTAGCAGTTTAAGACTCTTTAATAATATTTCAAGTGCAACAGGGTATTTACTCCAAGAGCGCCCGATTCCACAGCTCTCCTTTGAGCCATTGACATCTGGTAGGACCTGATTGTGATTGGGAGGAATCGGGTACTTAAAAACAGGACCATGACCAAAGAAAAAGAAAGGAAGAAAGAAAAAGAACACGAAAACTACCAAATCAAACACAAACTGTCATGTTTTTCGAGCCTGACACTTCTCCCTTGTAACAGAGCCTTTTCTGTGCCGCCATATCCTGGGCTGTGTATCCGACGATAAGGTTAATGCTCAGTTCGAACTTCTAACTACCGTCTTCACCCGAATAGAACGCCCAGTCGTTATAGCTGCATTTGGCCCAACTTTCAGTCCAGATGCAGCAATAATGACCGGGCGTTCTATTCGGGTGAAGACGTTAGAAAAGGAGTAAGGGAGGGTGGCAAGGCTGTTTGATCAAAAGGCCCTGCTCCCCTACTCTACCCTTTACGTGATGCATCTAGAAGTCTGTACGAATAGCTCGCGAGCCTTTTCCACTCAGTATCATTCATTACTACTTCACAAAGCACACATTTTTGCTACCCTATGTATATAGAGTCATTATAGATATCATTATAGATATTCAAATTTAACATATCGAAACGGTTTTCACCTTTGATGCAGATCCCAGAGCTCGATCCCCAGACCTGGCCCTTACCCGTGTACAGTACCAATGACCCGTGTGTGCTCGAACCCACGATCTGTGTTTTGGAAGCCGCCTGTTTGTTTGCTGTAGGTAGTGTGGTCGTCGGGTCTTGAACCGTACGTCTGTAGATTAGAGGTCTTAGCAGAGGTAGGAGTTGTAGCTTCTACAGTGTTGAAAGGTCAAGTCGTAGCTGCTACAGTACCGAAGGGTCAAGTCCTCAGTCTTCCGGAAGATCCGGAACTGGCCCTTCGTGAGTCATAGTAGTCAGTCCATAGGCAAGTGGTCAAGTGGGCAGTCTTACCTTGCTTGGTCACTGGTACCCAGTCCCGGTCGCACTTTGTCAAGTCAGCAAGTACCATGTGGGACTGTGTACACTCCAGACACAGGGTCCAAGGGCAGACCTTTGACAAACCAAAGTATAAATACAGATGCAGCGTCAAGCCATGCATTCATTCTGCCTGTGAGCCGTGTGGAAGCGCTGTCAAAGTGTCTTGTGTGCTAAGGTCTGCAGGTGCCCATTGATGAAGAGGGCTAAGAGGAGGAAGATCGGCCATGGACGATAGTTAGTCAGTAGAGAAGGGCGGTCATAGCCACCACGTCAGCAGTTAGTAGTGTTAGTGTGTGTGAAGAGAGGGAGAGTATGAGTGTGTGTTCAGGTGAGGAGTGTGTGTGTGTGTGCGGGACATCATGGGAGGTCCAGGGTGTGTGTACAAACAAGTGTGAGTACAGGGGTCGGCCATATCCGACCAAGACAAGTTTGAATCTGAATTGCGTTCTTGGCTTCATTATCTCTGAGCTTTGTGTGGGCACAAGTTGCCAGCTTGATCATCATCTGTTTGTATGCATGCTGAGTGTCAAGAAACATATGTCTGTTTGCAATATTATTTCTGGATATAGGCCCCTTTCTCCAGTCTCATCCATTCACGGCAATTTGCCCTTTTAGGCCACTTCTTCTTCATGTCCTTCGTATCCAATTGTAATTCAAAAAGAGGTCAGCTAGGGTGGCAAGATTGTTCAGTCAAGAGGCATCATTCACCTACTCTAACCTTGGAGTCCCTTCCAAACCTTTCGCAGATCTGATCAAGAAAGGCTGAGGGCATGTTCGCAAACTTATCAATGGTCATAATAAAATGGTCAATTCCGAAATTAAACAGAAGTTGCAAAACCAAACAAACCAGCAGACAAACGAAAACAAACGAGAAGATTTCACAGAGTCAATGTAGGAGGCACCAAGGCAGTCGACAAGCAGAACAAAACAACAACGAAAAGACAACCGGGCACTCATGTCATCCAATTGGGCATCTCAGTATGCACACAAAAGGATAGAAAAACACCGACAAGAAATAAGACAACGCAGAACAGAACTGAACAGAAGAGAAGAGAGACTAGAATTTCAAAGTGTTCTGAACCGACTGAAGTTAAAAGAATGTACCTGTTTAATTGCACTAGTCGCAGTATCACCATTCACAAGACCGCGCAGATGAGGAAGTGTCATAGACTTTCCATCCTTGTCAACATCATCCAGGTGCTTCCAGCGGATCGGGTCCTGCATTGCAATTTCACACAACACACACAAGGCATTGTTTTGTACATTAAAAAAAACACCCAGAATGGCTCTTTGGACCATTTCTCGATTGACGCATGTCATCCTTGCGCAGGCACTACCATTCTATGCTCGAATAGGAGAGGAGTTTTATCATCAGACTCTTCTGACTAAGGATCCAAACTTTTCTTTTTTGGAGACAATCCAATTCCTTGTCCACCAGAGGTCGAATGTTTGTAACTTTGTATTGTAGTATTCTTACGGCTTCCCTTCTATATTACATAACACGACATCACGGGTAGTTGTGCGCGAGAGATACATGCACACTGCAAACAAACCACCAAAAAGACTACGATGGGCATAATACATATTCTGCAACAAAGACTTTGATGAGCGAAGGTACCGTGGTCCAGTGTTTGTTTGATTGTTCCTCTGATTGTTATTGTTTCTTGTTCTTGTTTGTTGTTGTCGTTGTCGTTGTTATTGTTGTTGGTGTTGGTGTTGGTGTTGGCGCTTGTGTTGGTGTTGTTAAACAGGGCCTTACGGCCCTGGATCCATATCCATTCTGGGGAGTGTCAGTCTAGTCACTTTTCCCCTGGCAAGTCATGACAATATCACACACACACACACACACACACACACACACACACACACACACACACACACACACACACTCTTCCGTCCGTCTGGCCAAAGGACCCCTGAACAAACATTGATTACTCCATTCTTATGGAGGATTGACTGCTAGCTTGCCTTCCTTCTAGAAGTCCTCTCAGCTATGGCATCGGCTCAACTTGTAAATCAAGACCTTCTAAAAGGAAGGGCGGACAGTTCCAACATCGTCGTCCACTCCTGTCGATCCAGAGTCCAGACCCATGAAGTGGCATGAACTCTCCTGTCTTCTTGTCACGTTCGCTGCTGAGCCTACATGGACCAGGAACGCGGGTGGTCCAGTGCTTGTATTGTAGTATTCTCAGCCAATCTAATCTCAGGACCTTTCTTCCATGCTACATAACACAACATCAAGGGTAGTTGTGCATGAGAGAGACATACACACCACAAGCAAACCACCAGACGGACTAAACGGCAAATGCGTATAACACAGACTCTGGAACAAAGACTTAGATGACAGGAGGTACATACCTCTCCGCCTTCCCCTGAGTTAGACTTTCCGCCAATTCGATTCATGGCAATTGCGATTGCTTCATGGGTTTCCCGGGAGATAGCGCCCAGAGACATTCCTCCTGTGCAAAACCTTTCCACAATGGAAACTGATGGCTCAACCATGTCAAGTGGAATTGGTTCGCGATCACTTTTCAACTCCAGCATATCACGGAGCACCTGCAACAGAAAAAATAAAACAACACAGCCCCAATTCCCCCGAACCAAACTCCAAATACACCCAACGCCAAATCCAGGGATTAGTTGCAGACCACCACCTACTCCAAGTCGCCTGGTAAGCCACAAAACGGCAAACCCCACATTTTCCAACAGTAGCCTTTACTATGGGGGCGAACAGCAGTTATATAGTGCATGGCTTATTTTTCTGAAACACAGTTTTTGTTCTTCTGAAAGACGTGGTATACTAGTGTGCCTATGAAAGCCAGCATGTAGTCTACTAACAGCAAGAGACAGAGAAGAAACAATCAACGAAGAGAACCACCGGTTACTACTAGTCAGAAAAAGCACAATATGGGTGATATGGAGATCTAGATTCGGGGGAACTCTAGGAAAAAAGAAAATAACAGAAAGAAAAATCATGGGACGAGGCAAGAGAATTGATAGAAGCAGAAATCAGGGTAGAATGGAAGTGGGCTCTGAATAGGATGGACAAGGAACTGGCCAACTTAGGCAGGGATGGTACATCCTTCCTGTTGGAAGTAATCAATGCCGTCCTTCGGACCTCCACAGCAGAAGGGGGAGGAGCGTGAGCGTGTTCTCAATGTATTTCCTTTGACTTGCAGGTGGAATAGGAACCGGACTGATGCCCCCCAGAATGGACAAGGAGCCGGAACCATAAGGTTCTGTTTAAAAAAAAAACAAAAAAAAAGGATGGACAAAGAACTAGAAAACAATCCAGGAGGAGTTCGGAGAAAGATGGTTGAAAAACGGATTAATTGCCCGAACCACGGACAGATCAATACACTCTGCGGATTGGTGTAAGCAGAACACCAGCGACCAGAGAGTAGTGGACGGGCAAAGCATTCCCATGGACCTAGAGAGGACTAGTGAACATTTTAGCTAATAAAGAGCAGAGAGGGATACAACTACACATGGATTCATGTACAGGTGAGTATAGTTGTGAAGAAGGACAATACCCAACAAACCTAACAGAAAACTACAGACCTTAGACCGTCCCAAGACACCAGACCCAAAGATTAGATCCGTTAGTAGGCCCTAGACAGAGGTTTACAGATGGATAGGCTCTTCTTCTAGGAAACAGTGAATAACTCTAATCAAATCAGGGACAGACCAAGGAGCTAGCAGCAACCACATCAGAAAAGAGTTTGATAAGGCCCTAGTAATGTTAAACATAAAGAGCCAGCCTAAAAGATTCTAGCAATCAAGAAAACTAGACAGGCAAAGAGTGGAGAAAAATCAAAGTGGAAGAGATAAAACGGTTAAAACATAAGTATTAAAGTAAAGGGAAGTCAGTCTAGCAGCAAGGAGCAGAAACAAAGTAGATCAGAGCTAACTTAGGAAGGGGTAAGGAATGGTACATCCTTCCTTCCGGAACTTCCGGAAGTAATCAATGCTGTCCCTTGGGCCTCAACACCGTAAGGGGGAGGAGCGTGGGTGAGTGCGCTTTTGTAATACTTCGGACTTGCGGTGGAATAGGAACCGGACTGATGTTCCCCAGAATGGATAAGGAGCCAGAACCGCAGGGTTCTGATTTGAAAAAAGAAAAAAGAAAAAAGAAGAGAAAAAAAGCCATTTGCAATTTTGGCATTTCGGCATTTTGCACCGAAAGAATGGAATTTGACGAGTGTCATCATGTCATTTGAATTCACCAGCACAACACTTCCATATTTTCCGGGAAAAAAAACAAAAAAAAAACAGAGAATTCTAGACTCTAGAGAGAGCACGCCTTTAAAATAACAAATTTGTAGACCCTTAATACAGGTGGGGGGGTGGGAGGCAATGAGAACTAGCTACCCCAGACGAAAACAACTTTTTAGTAGTCTTAACCTTCCACCGACAGGCACAAAATCCCAGACACCTGTTCATGCCCCGCTTTCCGTCATGGGTGGATTCAAACTTTTTAGGCTGAGCACAGATTGTACCAGATGCATTCTTTCTTCACTTCTGTTGTGTATTTTATTTTATTCCATCTTCCGACCACTCCTCGTCTCGGCCCGTCAAGATTTCTCTGCACTTGGGGTGCGGTTTGCCTGGCATGATTCTGGCAGCCTAGCACACAAATTCCCGCTCAGGATTGGTAGAGATTTGTGTGGCAGGCTACGCGAACCATGTAGCCTGGGCAAGAAAGGGCCAGGGCCATACCCCAGGTGCAGAGAACACAGAACAGGTCAAGATCAGCACAAATCAACAAGGGAACAACAAAAAGAAGGGGCACAAATCAGCAAGGGAACAAGAAAAAGAAGGGCAACTGGTTAAATCTCTACTCATCTTGAACAGTTAGATGAACTTAGAAAGTCTTATATCTAATGAACTTTGTCTGCTCCGTTCTTTTTCATTCATTAGCAAGTTTTCTGTTGTAGTCAACTACTCACTCACATGCACGGGGCAATTGGCAAGATACTCTTGATAGTAAGCATACGCCTCAGCATTCTTCTCTCGAATTGCCTTGTGCAGCAATTTCGCCATCTCTGGATTGTTCCCATGGTGCTCACCTGCACCACCAGTCAATAATTCAATTGCCACACAGTTCATAACCAGAATCAGCTCAGCAGTGCCTAAGTTAGTCCAGTGTTTCTCATCCTTCGTGAACCTGGTCATATTATGTGGCGGGAAGGGTTGCATTATGCGGACTAAGTGGTACTATGCGAGCTGGGTGGTATTTTGTGGGTTGGGTGATCATTAAGCAGGCTGGGTGGCACTATGTGGGGCGGGTTGTAAAGAGGGGGGGGGGGGGGGGGGGGGGGGGGGGGGGGGGGGGGGGGGGGGGGGCAGTACTACATGGGATGGGTCATAGTGAGCAGACTGGATGTTGCTATGTGGGCTGGCCACTAATGTGCAGAGTAGGTGGGAAATGCTCCGTAGGCTGGGTGGTACAAACGACCAGACCAAAAAGAAATAGAAAAAGAAGAAAAGAAAAAAAAAAGAACACCGGAGGAAGCCCAAGCCCATGTGGCTGAACCGTTGATAGACAAACCTCAGCTCAGCTCAAATCCTACGAAGAGAAGTAAAAACCAGTCTGAGATCTTTTCTTTTCTCTTTTGGGATGAGCGCCACATGGATTTGAGTACTACATGGGATGGGTCATAGCGAGCGGACTGGATGTTGCTATGTGGGCTGGCCAGTAATGTGCAGAGTAGGTGGGCAATGCTCCGCAGGCTGGGTGGTACAAACGACCAGGCCAAAAAGAAGAAAAAAAAAAAGAACACAGGAGGAAGGCCAAGCCCATGTGGCTGAACCGCACACCCGTCAACTGTTGATAGACAGACCTCAGCTCAGCTCGAATCCTATGAAGAGAAGTAAAAACCAGTCTGAGATCTTTTCTTTTCTCTTTTGGGGTGAGCGCCACATGGATTTGAGCTTGTGACATGTATGCTAACAGTCAGGTGTCTTCTCTCCATCCAAACTGGCCTACGATGTACTTGTATCCGAATGTCTTGCAAACACGAGGAACAAAAGCAGCCCGACATAACCCACCAGCAGAAAAAGACAAAACGAAACAACGCAGCAGAACCCGGCCGCTCAAGCTTTGAAGAAATCGTCGAAGCCAAAAACGTAAACTGCGGCCGACTGCACCTACACCTACACCGATTACTTGACCCTCCCGTCCTCAACTCTCACGCGAGGCCCAGGTTAATCTTTAATAAGATAGAGAAAAGGAAAGAACCAAAAAGAAACACAAGGGTTCTGAACTTCTCACACATGGCCCTGGTCACTCAATAATACACACATTCAAGTTCATAAGTGAACTGTTCCATTATTCGAATCCTGTTCAGAGCAACAACATTAATGGCTGCTCCCTTTGGGGAAAAAAAAGGGAAAGAAAAAAGACAGTCGCAGCCTCGCACAGCAAATGAACCTCAAGAAATGAAGTCAAGTTTAGGTTGGCGGATCTCGACAGAATCTCAGTAAGTTGAGAAATTTAGGGAAGGATTGTGTGAGGGAGGATTGCACACAGAAAAAGCATCAAGGACCTGTTGAGATGAAGAACATAGTTGCTGCTGCATGGGGTGCAACAACGTCCCCACAGAGTAGCACATTGCGAGCAACAGCGTCACCACATACTTCACTGTACTGTGAGGGATTGGAGCCTGATTTCTCGATTTTCAAGGAAGAACTCTGCAAGGGAGACTCGACAAAGTTGGAACGAACAGAAAAATAATATATTGAGGACCTGTCCAGATAAAAAAGAAAAAGAAATTGGGCTAACATCCCACCCATCCCGTTTTAGCAAACCAGAAGAAAATCATTCAGAAGGGCCTGTTTTGTAACTTAAAAAAAAAAACAAAAGGAATTCAGAATGTCAGAAAACTGTATGGTATATAGTATATACTATACGGCGTATACGCGGATGCATAATAGCATATGTTGCCTTGGTTTGAATCTTTGATTCTTTTGAAACTTTTGATCATAAGGAAGATCTCAAAAGGGCCTGTTTCGTAACGTAAAAAAAAACAAAAAGGAATTCAGAATGTCAGAAAACTGTGTAATATATACTATACGCAGATGCATAATAGCATACGCTGCCTCAAGGGTTTTGATTCTTTTGATTCTTTTGATTTTTTTGAAACTTTTGATCATAAGGAAGATCTCACAGTTGTCCTTCGGAACATCCGATAAATTAGATCAATACAGAGAAGATTAGCATGGTCCCTGTGCAAAGGCACGGAAAAAAAAAAAAAAAAAGATCTCACAGTTCTGCAGACCAAGTTAAAATGTGCCCCTGGACCAACACCCAACACAGATCTTCTATATGACTTAAAAATTGACTTCGGAAAAGAACAGAGGAAAAATCCCACTTTTTTTGGGCCAGAGTTTCCAGCGTCAACACACACACAGGAGAAGGTTTTGAGCAGGGAGTCGGTCCGTACCTCCAGGACGGAACTGGATGAAGCCAAAGTTATCCAGCTTCTTGACGCCCTCTGGAGAAAGACCTTTCGACCAGAAGGACACCGTTTCTCTCGCCAACTGTAGAGCACAACGGAAATTGATTTCGCAGTCCAGTCAGTTATGTTATCAAGCCCTTTTCCGCTAACGAGGAGGCCCTCATTTTCAGGAGTTTCATTAATTCTTCGACTTCTGCCCCCGCTGGGCAAAAGCAGCAAAGAGATGGAGACTTGCCGAGGCTGGGCAAAGTCCAGATACAACACCACAACAAAATATCCTCTAGAGGACTGATTACACGTAACCAGAAGGAAGACATGAGAAGAAAAAGGAAAATGTGGGGAGCAGCCCCAGAAAGAACACAGGCGAAAGAAAAGGAAAATGGTGGCAGCTGCCCCAGGAGAGTCTCATGAACCCACCCTTCCTGACATGGTAATGCTGAATTCATCCTCGCTTCAGCAAATCATCCGTCACTGGTGCACTGTTTACAACTATCCCTGGAGCTCAGTTTTCAAAAGGCGCTAGCGAGTTACTCTACCAGCAGACTGTCCGTTCCATGCAACTGTCTTCACCCGAATAGAACGCCCGATCATTATAGCAGTCTCTGGACTCGAAATTTGCACCAGATACGGCTATATAATGACCAGGTGACGGGCGTTCTATTCGGGTGAAGATGGTAGTCGTCTGAGCTCAACCATTGGAATAACTGTTCATTCCACACAAACACACTTTCTACTAAGTTTCTAGTCTAAAGTTCAACCACAAGGAATTGATGTGTGACCTTCTGCCTTGCGTTTGTGGGCAGGTGGTAGCCTGGTCCAAACATAAAACCAGCACAACCTTGGCGGACATGCTGGGTTGCTGGCTAAGCACGACATTGCAAGTTTTGAAATCGCCAATTCACACTTTCCATTGTCAGCACTGCATACCAGAGGAGAGCAAAGAGAGGCCAAAAAACAGCAGACCATTACGAAAAGAGCAACAATGAAACACCAAGACAAAGAACAGTTTCATTTTCCCGCAGTCCCAAACTTTAACGGACTGCATGGAAGTCGCATAGAAAACTGCCAATTCACATTTTCTGTTATCACCAAATGCCCACCATACACCAGACACCAGAGGAGAGGAGAGAAGAGAAAGGCCAAAACAGCCGAAAAAACTAGTGGACCGTGACAAAATGATCAGCAATGCAGGAGAGAGAGAAACACCATGACAAAAGAACAGGTTAATCTGCCAGCAGGCACCATACCTCATCCATGGTAAGCCCTCCAATTCTTGAAACAGTGCCCCTGAAGGCCGTATCTACAACCTCCTTTCCGAGACCATAAATTTCAAAAATCTGTGCACCCCAATAGCTGCGAGAGTGAAACATACAACATTAGGGTTTCCATAATTTGAGGAACTTTATCACCTTTTTTTTTGGTTGGAACATTATCACCTTGCAGTTGACAGATTCATATTCCTAATATTCAAAAAAAAAAAAAAAAAAAAAAAAAAAAAGGACGCTGGGAAAGGAGAGCATCAAGATAGATACCACCTGGGACTACACCTCGAACTTCCCCCACTCTCATCAAGATACACCTGGGACTTTCCCACTTGTGCCTTCTGTTTCTACTATCTACATGATGTAGGTGGTGGTCGGAAAGCCCATCCAGATGGAGATTACACAGGCGAATCTCACGCAAAAGAGAAGGTACAAGTGCACCTGAGTACTTTTTCCCACAAATAGAAACACACATTCCTCTTTCTTACATGGCTTATGTTGGCTTTGTTTTCTACACACCTGTCTGCTAGCAGTCCAAAACAACGATCTTCCTCTATTTCCACTATTTACACTTTTATTTTTCCCTCGTTCTTTCTCCGGTTGTGCTTGTGGCTCCGCTTCATCCGCTTCAGAGGCACAAGATAGGATAGACAGAGGCAAACATAGTTACAGGTAGGGCAAGGGAATAAAAAGAAACTGAAAAGCTTTGAAAGGGGTTGCGGAACTCCCACTTGTACCAGGGAGCGGCATGCATGCAAAGTGGATTCATTATTATACTCGTCTATTTGGACATAGCCTATCTGGGCTACCAGGGTCGCCTTGGCCCGGCTGCCTGGCTGGAAAGCTGAGCCCAGGCAGCCGGGACCAACCTGCAGCGATCACCCGGCCAATCCAAGAAAGCAGAGGTTTGTTTTTCCAAAACCTAAAAGGCATTTCTGTGCCCACCAAGATGTACTGAAGTCTCGTTATATCTTTGAATTTGGTGGTCTCAACTTTGGGGATCTGGAGGGGTTAATAGTACTTAATACTCTTTATAGGGGTTTGAACTTCGAAGGGCTCTCGTTATATCTTTGAATTTGGTGGTCTCAACTTTGGGGGTCTGGAGGGGTTTATAGGGGTTTGAACTTCGAAGGGCTTGCACAGGTTTCAAATACTGTAGGAGCTGAGGAGTCTGCCACTATTTTTGTTTTCTAATTCTATTTTCAATACTTTATTTTTTCAGACTCAATAAGGAATTTCGAAGTGACCCTCAGCCAAAGGAATTGTTTGATTCGCAGCTCTGCACAGTTTTTCCTTTCCCTTTCTCTATTTTGGGTAGGGGCTGCTGGGACCTGCACCACACATGCAGGACAAGAGAAGGTCACAAGGTAAATTGCAAAATGAGAGAGAGAGAGAGAGAGAGAGAGAGAGAGAGAGAGAGAGAGAGAGAGAGAGAGAGAGAGAGAGAGAGAGAGAGAGAGACCATTTATAGATTGAGTCCTCAAATTCCGGACACAGACTGCAATTTCGGAACTGCTGTGAAGAACTCCCAAGTGCTGTTTACATACCTGCTCAGGAGAGAAATGCCCATCTTAGAAAGAATCTTCAGCAAACCAGCAGAGATCGCCTGTTGAACAACATTGCGAAATACATATAATTGGTGATCAGATATCATAATTTCTGTGCAGTAGGGTGAGAGTTCATTCTCTGCAGCTGTGGACTGCAAGCTAAGCATTGTTAGTGCCTTTCCCGGCATCGGGCTCTGCTCACATGTGAGGTGGATTTCTTGTTGTTGTGGGGCTACCACTTTTGTTTTTCAGATTCGCCCTCTCTATGCATCCTTCCCTGCGCACAACTGTCCATTTTGCCTCCAGTGGCAGCGACGTGTCTGGATTGTATTGTCTGGCTGTGACAGACCTTTCTTTGTTTTGTGGGTGTTTTGCTGGCTTGTGATGGGGTATGAACCAGCAGTCTGCAGAGTTTTCCATCTGGTGTGGGTGAGTGTTAGTCTGCTTTGCTTTTCGTTACAGGAACCTCGAGGGAAGTGGTTGGTGTTCAGCTCAAGGTATCAGTTGTTGGGCAGTAATAGATGCTTAACCACAACCGTTGTTAAGGCGGATTGTCACTTACAGTGTAATCAGTTAGGGGACTCTGCAGACTGCAGAGGGTTCAGAATCCTGATGAGTTGGTGAAACTCCGACAAAACAGTTTGTCACAGCCCTTCGTTTGTTGTCCTCTTCTCCCTCTCTGCCCACGGTTTACCGGCCAGTTCTGTTTGACGATATAGGAGCATGGACTGCATCCTGCTGTACCCCGGGCGGCGACCGCATCCAGTTGTACAGGTGAGTCGTGAATATCTAACGCTGAGGGGCATAAAACATAGTCTCGTGGCTGCCTGCACGCAGCTGGACTGTCTGCAGGAGGCATAGGAGCGAATATTGCCGTTTGGCCCAAAGGCACAAAGGAACTGCAATAACCTGTGGAGCAGAAACAGAGAGAATTGAGGCAGACAATGGCCCCGGTAGTTCATGTTTGCTGTATTCTGATAAGGGATGCTGGGCCCGGTTCCCAGCCGTGTTGCTCCCCACGAATAGATTGGAGCATCATCCCCTTGTCTTTTGTTGCTTATTCAAAAAAATAAAAAAATGCTGATCCCCAGACAAGCGACATTGCGGCGCACGCCGTCAACGATACACAATAAGAGGAGTAATGGGTGTTGCAAACTGAAGATGAACGTGTCTGGTATCGAAGATGGAACAGTGGGAACAATGGGAACCGGGGAGTCTGTTCACAAGCCAGACCGTGGAGGAGATGGGGGTGGCAAGGAGGAATGTAGCCGTCTGCGGCCAAGCACAGAAAGATATACATATATATCGTCAAACAGAGCTGCCTGGTAAACCGTAGGCAGAGAGGGAGAAGAGGACAACAAACGAGGGGCTGTGAAAAACCGTTTCGTCTGAGTTTTACCAACTCCGCCTACTTTTTACCGGGCAGCTTGGTTTGATGATATATATCGTCAAATAGAACTGCCCGGTATATATATATATTGTCACATAACTATGAACTAAATATATATAAATATTAAAATATAAATATGTAAGACTCCTATGGAGTTACATCTGGGATGGCGTCCACGCAGACCCATTGATCGATTGAACCCGGATCAAGTACATAAGCTTCCTGTAGGGACTAGTGAGTTTGCAGTCCAATATCAGAAAGACTATTGAGGAAGAAGAAGAAGCCTCTGAAGAAGGGGGAGAGAGACTTATCAGGCGGCGTGCAGAAAGTGGGGAGACAAGTGAGATCCGGGGAGAAGTATTTGTCAAGCCATTGGACTGGTATGACCAGTATTCTTATTCCAGTGACAAGTTAGAAGARACAGAAGAAGAACGAGACACATTCATAGCAAGGCTAGCACTAGTAACAGATCAAAGGGAGAGAGAACTGATGCTGGAAGAAAAACGCACTGAACTACATAGCAAGATGCTATCGACAAAATGCAAAGAGCTTGATGATAGAAAGAAGTTGCAAGCAGAGGGGGCGAGGTTACACAGCGAGCTGCAGGCACAAAAGGAAAAGCAAGCGGCTACTGAAGAAAAACTCGCCCTCCTAACTGAAACAGTTCTCCATACGAAACAGGAAGTTGCTGCAATCAATAGGACCTTGCAGAAAGTTGAAACAAATCAACTGGAATTTGAAAATGTATGGAACATTTTTTTGCAGAAGTCCGCCAAGGACGTAGATCTCCACTGGCTGCAATGCGTGGAAGTGCTGGTGCACTTGTGCGCTGAGTCAGGAGGAGCAGCGCTGGAAGATGCCTGTACGCTGGAAGTGATGCAGCCATAGCTGCCCAGCGAGTTAGCATTAGTAGTAGAGGGTTAGTATGTAGCTATGAGTAGTATCCAGAGTAGATCCTCTCATGAGTATTGAAGAGTGTGTATGCATCATAGGAGGAAGGGATTGAGGATGAGAGTGTTCATTCAAGGTTGGCTATGGAAGATACTTACCTGAGTTGGATGTGACCTGCAGAGGTGGCACTGATGAGTGGTGACCACATTGATGACTTGGAGACTATCTGCAGGGGTAGCACTGATTCACTGGAAGGCATATTGATGAGTTGGCAAGATATTGGTGTTGCGCTGATGAGCGCTGGACTCAGGGGAACTTTGAAACACTTTGTATTCATATTTCTGATAATATAAACTGTGAAACTCGGTCCTCATCTTCTCTATCTTTGTCTATTGTCGGACTACTGTTCATTGTGTGTGGAAGTACGATGCATGGCATGTACACACTTGCGTGAGATGGTCCCCAGGACCCATGCAAATATATATTGTGCCAGCGGCGTGTCTGGAGTGTATTTTTTGGCTGTGACAGACCTTTCTTTGTTTCGTGGATGTTTTGCTGGCTTGTAATGGGGTGTGAACCGACAGTCTGTAGAGTTTTCCATCTGGTGTGGGTGAGTGATAGTCTACTTTGAT